CTATAAGATCAGGTATAAAAATCTGTTCAGCTATTGCTAAAGTAATTTTTATATACCATTTTTGAGAAGTAACTTGTTTTATAATTTGTAAAAATTCTGAATTTTCAATATTATTTTCTTTATCAGGAGTTTCTTCTGATATTATAAGAGAATTTTGATTCTCTTTAAAATTATTCAAAATAAATTTATTTTCTTGTTTTAAATTTTTAACTTCTTTTTTCAAATCTTGAATTTCTTTATTTAAACTTGATAAAGAAAGAGATTTAGAAGTTGAAGCCTGACTCTTTTGTCTTTTTAAAACTTCAGACATAGAATAAACATTTTCAATGTTTGGTTTTTCAATTTTTTTTTTAGTTTTTAAAAGAGATTCTATTAATTCTCTTTTTGTTTCAGAAGATATATCTTCGGATATAATTTTAGTTATTATATCATGATTTGACGATATCATATTAATGGATAAACCATTCATATTAACTATTGCTTTCCAATAATCAACATTTTTCTCGCAGCTATTAGCTGTACAAATACAACGTGTATCTTCTTCAGATTCAAAGTCTGACTCGGAGTAAGATGATTCATCCTCTTCAGATTCACTATTAATCATTATTTTATATAGAGTCTTTTTAAGACCCTCATCTTCTGTGGCATCTATTTTCTTTTTTGTATAACATTTACTTGCATAGTGCCCTAGTTTTCCACATTTATAACAGTGAATTTCTTTTTTATCTTTTTTAGATTTAAAAGGTTTTTTATGTTTATTCTCTTTTTCACTTTTTTCTTTAAAAAAAATTTCTTTTTCTTTTTAGAAGAATGTTTTTTATTTTGAATATCTTTTATAGGTGTTTTATCAACTCTATAAGGTTGATCAAAAGCAAATTGTTCACAGAATTCTCCTAATTCTTTTCTTTTAGTAAGTCTTTGAGACTTTAATTGATTTTTTAATTTTAAATCATTGCATAAAGCTAATCCTTCTTTAATACATGCATTAGTTAAATATCCATAAGTTAAATTTGCATAAGGGATATAACCACCTTGTTCATCTCTTATTTTATTTCTAACTCTATCAGCAAATAAAGTTGGCAAACCGTCTATAAATTTGGATTTCCAATGGTCGCTATTAGCATTATCAAGCATCATGACTCTGCTTAAAAAAGTGTCTTTATACCATCTAAAATGGGTTAAAGAGGGACATCTAAAATTCTGTAAAATAGTTCTTATTCTTTCACCATTATCTTGATATAATCCAGTAAAATGATGAGTGATTGCTAACATTAGAGTATAAATAGCATCTTCTTGTGGAATACCATTAATCATTTTAGTTGCATTTAAAATTTCATCTCTAGCATTAGAGGATAAATAATTATCCCACCATCCTTTAAGGACACCAGTAAAACCACATGAAATATAAGATACAATTATTCTATCGGTATTACCGTTTTGTCTACATACGGTAGAATACATCATCATTCTATGCATAGTAGAATATATGAGAGAATCAGATGCTCCATCAATATTCCACTCATAAATATTTCGGCCATTATAATCACTTTGAATATAAGTGTCATTTTCTTCAAATAATACATCAGGAGGAGTAGGCCTTTTATAATAATATCTTTCAATTCTTTTTGAAGGATTTTTTATTTTATTAATTGATGTAAATTGATTCTCTAAGGTTAGTAATTCGCCTTGAGTTAGCTCATTTTCAGATATATTATCTGGAAGGCTATTAATTTCATCCTCTGATGAGTCTGTTTGAATAATAGATGAAGTAGAAGCTACCATATTTAGCTTGAAACTATTAAATTTTTTAGTTAATAACTCTATTATATCAGAAGTTACTTCATCGCCTCTTTTAAAACCTGAAATATCTATAGGAGGTTTTATCATAACTTTTGCCTTTCCACTTTCAGTGTTAAGGATTTTATTTGTTTCTAAAATTTTTAAGAAAGGTATTACTTCATTGAATTTATTTATTAATTTATCTAAGTCATCTTCAATTCTTATTAATTGATTTCCTACAATTTGAAGATGTAGATTTGTATAATTATTTTGTTTAATTATTTTATTTAACTCTTTAAGAGTTGCATCATTTGATTCACTTTGTTTAACAAAAGCATTTGTTTCTAGATTACTAGAATGAATCCCAGATATTTTTAAAGCATCTGTTGGAGGATATATAGATCTTATATTCATACCAGTAGCAGATTTCCATTGTTTATAATGTTCTTCTATCACTCTAAGTTGGTTTGTTTGATTTTGTATATAATACTTTAGAAACCAAGTTATGAAATATTCTAATTTATTATTCTTTTGCAAGTCTGTATAATACTTGTCCTTAAAATCTAGCTGTTCAGTTTTTGAAAAGCTTTTAAAAAACCATTGTCTGATTTCTTTATGCTTTTCTTCATAAAATTCTTTATTAAGAAAGTTTTTTATACTTTGGTTTTCTTTAATATTCATTTTAACCAGGCATTCTAAAACTCATTTCAGAGCTAGTTGGAGAATTTCTCTCTTTTTCTTTATTATCTTTATATAATCCATGAGGAATATTATTCTCTGAGATATTAATGCCTTTAACATCATTCGTTCTATAAGAACCTGATCTAGAAAGTGAAACTGACCTTCTAGATGTACTGGTAACATCAGATAATCTGATAGTTCGGGAAGGATTAAAAACAATTTCTACTTCTCCATCAACCGTCTGAGTTATTTGATCAATTTCTTGATTAATAATAGGTTGAGGTTGAACAGCGTTAGGTATAACCCAACTGTCAGGAAAATTTATTTCATCCCATTTAATCTGTCTATTAACAGCAATATTTGATGATAAAACATTAGTTTCAACCAAAACTGTTTTTCCTGGTTTAGAATGAATTTTAGCTTTTGGAGCTAAAGAGGTTAATGTTTTATAATGAATTCTGTAAATTATGGCTATAGTCTCAGATCCTGAGATGAAGTTATAACCATGAGTTTTTATGTTTAAACTTACTGCCTCAAATATATTTGGGTCTGTTAAAGATAAACTTAAGTTTGGGTAAACATTAAAATAGACTGGTCCATTACAAAGACTAGTTTCCATAATACCCATTAAAGACTGGGTCCAGTTTAAACATCTAGCATCTCTTAAACAAGTTAGTATGGATGCATTTAATCCTTGAAGAGTTAAAGGTCTAAAGGCGACTTGTATTAAGCCAATATGGATATAATTATATTTGTCCATATAAGGTTCAATATCAACAGGACTAAGTAACTGTAAAGTTTGCTCATCCCGATCTACAGTAGTAGTTCGTTCTAAAGTTTTAATAGTTATCAAAGATTTATAATCCAGAAAACCTATTTTATAAATATCTCTATTAGGGATAGCAGGAATTGTCCATTTATTTAAAGCCTCTATTTCAGAAGTATATTCTGTACTTTGAGCATTTTTAACTCTTTTGCCCTTATTAAGGGTCTTACTTAAAGCAGAAGACGAAGGAATTAATTCTGACATAAAATCTTACAGATTTATTTATGTAAAACTAGCTATAAGGATATAAATTTATTATTTTTCTTTCATTTCTTCAAAAATCAGCTTAGTTAAAAGTCTACACGTCTGTCAACGGTTTACACTACCCACTTAACGCCATCTCAGCAACACTTGGGTTTTACACTACGCGACTTTGGTGACGTTCTATAGACTGCAACAACTAAGTTCATAAGAGAAGAAAGGAAAGAACTTATAACAAATTTACATTCTTATAAACAAGTTAACACAAATAAATCGTAAGAAGCAAATTAGCCAATCATGGCTCTGATACCAATTCTAAACATACATATAAATTAAAGCAATAATTTAAAAGAGGAAGAACTTACAGGGTTCGACGACCCACTCTTAAAATAATATCTGGATCTTCAATTTTATTTATAAGAAGGACCTTACAGCAGACACTTCTTCACACTTACAAAATAGACTCAGATCAGGTTGGCAATTTCAACTCAACTGGAACCTGACTCCACAATAAAGCATTCGGGTCAAGGCTTTAACTAGGTTTCAGGTAAAATCTGGTCAATCCCTGGCTTATTCTTTTATCAAACGGGTTGGTTCAGGTCCAAGCTGCTTGCTCCAATTACACAGCTTGACCAAATTATATGCAGTAAGCATGTGCTTTAATTTGTAGACAATTGCGTCAGGTTGGTATAATTGGTATTGAACAGATCTGCCTTTAGAGTAAATAATTCTAGCCTTTTACCTTGCTGAAAGCTGAGACTAGTTTTTGAGAAATCAGGGGCGCACACATGTTAATTGGTTCAGTATCAAGATATTAGTAGCAAAGGACACTTTCTTGCAGTTTAGCTCATTTGGTGAGACGTCACACCTGGTCCACGATCACCTTTTAAAGAAATTAAGCTACTAGCTTCACCACCCTAGTGATAAACAGATTAGGCTGGGTGGATTCATGTTATTGAACGGGTCAAGCTCAGGCTCAGGCATAGGAACTTGAGTGAGGTCAAAACTCATCATACAAGATCCATTTGCCACCTCAAGATTGAGATCGCCTTTTTTCTATGGTTGAGGCATGCATTTGCATAAAATTATCATGGTTCTTAATTCCCATTGGATCCAAAATCTGTACAGTGTTAATAGAAAGAAATAATTAATATATGAATGCTCAAGTTAACCTCTACAGTTTGAGCATCCTAAAGAAATGTTTCTGCTGAAGTAACAAATGTCCTATCTGCAAAGCGTGTACGTTAGATAATAATACTATTGGCAAAAATATCATCTGAAGTAAATAATAGTGCCAGAAATATTAACTAGGAAGCCACTTTAATCTAATAACTGACAGAAAGAGAACAAAATCATACAAAACCTTATCCAGATTATCCACATCTAATCCCAAAACTACATTGTTCAATAGTTAGATTTAGAATCTTCAGTATTCAGATGTAAAGTAGTCACAACTAAATTCACCACCTAACAACCTAAACCTTTAGCAAGAAAGATATGAGCATGAGCATACCAGTACTGATGTCATCAGGCCTAAAGATCCAAAACCTGCAGAAACATAAAGAAATTGCCTGAGACTAAAACATTTCCTCATATTAATAATTCCAGGGCCACAGAAAACTAAAATATATGTACAGTTTTCTACAAATTCCGCTAATTTAAATAAAGAACGTGCTCAAATAATCAGGGCACAGACCTTGAGCTAAGAAGTCACTCTGTACATCTCCATCATAGTTCTTGCAGGCCCACACATAACCTCCTTCACTCTTAAGTGCATAGGCAACCATATCATCAATGAGCCGGTGTTCATACCTGCGAAACATGAGAACATTTAAAATAAAAAAGACTAAAGTAACTGGAATATAGACCACGAGAAGTTAATGCTGATAGCTAACCATATTCCAGCAGTCTCAAACTTTGACTTCCAGCCTGCCTCATAAACCTCCTGGAATATGTCCTTAAACCTGCAGGGTTAGTATATATTTAATTATGATACATATACTAGGCTCAAAGAACTAAAGAAGAGATGTGACATCTGATGCAGACAACTAGGATATAACACATACCTTCCATCATATTTTTTCAGGATTGTATTTTTTGTGCTCAGATAAAGCGGCCACCTTTTTTGGTAAGCAGTGTTCATTGAAGACTCAGCAAAGGCACGAATAGACTGTAGTAGGTAACAAGATAAAAATAAATTAGATGGAGGAAGACAGCTTGAATGATGTAATAAGTGAGTAAAATACTTGGCTAAAGAAAAATACCTCGTCAGTATTATACATAGACAAGGCCACTCCCCCAGCACCTGTAAAGCTGAAGACCTGCAGTTCGACTTGCTCTTCTTTTCCCTCTACTCACGCAGGCACAAGAAAGAATAGATATTGCTCAAACAAATAAGAGGAGCAACAGAACTGATTGTAGTTACATTATCAGAAAGCCTAAGTAGTGATTATTTTAAAGTGCAAAGTATCATTCAATCTGAGATAATTTGTATACTAAAAGTAATAGCTAATGACAAATACTTCGCCTAAGAAAAAAAGTTCAGATAAGGTCAGTTGTGCAACTCCTATAAGTAAGTGTAAACAATCTACGTAGTCTTTCAAGTGGGTGCTGATAAGGAACCAAAATAGTGTTGTAACTTTGTGCCTGGACAGCACAAAAGTTTGTCCCCCGCTCTCTTCTCAGATATGCATGTCCACAGACAAAAAGAGTGAATAAAACGACAAACAGAAGCATCTAGCCTAGGTATCTCAATAAGCACCAAGCATCCCTGACCATTTAGTGCCTTGTGAAGTATTATCTAAGAAACTATCTTGCCAAATATATTATTGCTCAAATTACATGAGGACACATCTGAAGATTTTCAACACTTTACCTAGCACAGAAAAGATAAACAGCAGAAAGAAATTTCAAGAATCTCAAATGCTATGTAAATCAAATGCACGCTTATCTCACCAAATACTAGTTTGAGTTTCCCAGGCCCTCTAATAACTGCATCAGTTGCACGGTACTGATCACCAAAAGCATGTCTTCCAATGCATATAGGCTTAGTCCATCCTGCAAACATCAAACTGACAGATAAACTGTTCTACAGAATACAAGAATAATATCATACAGAGTAGGAAATCATGACTTTCTACAGATACCTGGAACAAGTCGAGGGATGTTTTTGCACATTATTGGTTCTCTGAACACTGTACCTGCAGAATATAAAGGAGGTTAAGGGAGAAAAGATGCGATATTGTAGGTACAAATGGGGGATTGAAGGGTCCTACAGGATAATTTATCTTACCATTTAAGATATTTCTGATAGTACCATTTGGGCTCCTCCACATCGATTTCAGGTTGAACTCCTCGACACGAGCTTCATCTAATAGAATAAAAATAACGGTTATAGAATGTAAAGCCAATTGCAACCCATAGAAATGGAAAAAATATTAACAGCGGCATAAAGTGTTACATGTGAGCGTATTTCTTCAAACCAGTCATTTACCTGGAGTTATTGTTGCACATTTGATTGCCACGTTATATCTGCAAGAGTCATGTTATTTTAATCCTACTGAAGCATAAATAGAACAAGAAACTAGGTTAAAATTTTATAGACTATAACAACTCAAGTATGGCCATTGACAACTAAAGATCCTACCACTATGTGTGTTTGTGAGCATATTATAATAGAGAGGATTTAAATGACATCGTAAAAGATCCATAACAGCTTACAGCCTTTTTCATTGAACATAACAGCACAAAAGAATATGCTATCATAGATAGCAAGAGTGTCGCCGGTACGGTAGCAATGCCACCAAAAGTTCATGGAGCCATACACTTCTTACAAATTGAGTGGGATATACAACAAGCTAATCATTGTTAAGTCGTGATATCCAAGTGCGAAAGTGAAATGCCAGAATGCAAACGAAAAAGGAAAGTAGGGAGAAAAGCTGAAAGGTATCATACGAGAGCAAGCGAAAATGAAAAATGGGTACTCCTGACATGAAAAAGCTAACGCTTACTCAAGAGTTGCCTCCGCACTTTCTACTGTAACCTTATCATCTGTAGCATCACGATGAGGAAGGCCTAGGTCAAAGTACTTTATATCTAAATCCAGAAAGGGGAAAATAAGCTGCGAAGTTCATCATACAAGCAGAATCAGCAAAATGTATCATGCAGTCTCACCTAAAATTTATACCACTCGAAACAATAGAACAGATAAACGGAATAAAACAAACTCACAGAAAGCAAAGGGGGAAGAGAAGCGTGTCTCACCTTGTCTTTAATTGATTTCCAAAAGACCCGAGTCATTTCATCTCCTGAAAACGTAACAACAAAAAGCAGAATAGTCTTTTTTTCCAATGAAACATACCAGATAGCAGTCAGGGCTTACATATGCCAACTATATTAACTGCAACATTAAAGTTAACTTACATAAAAAGGAAAACATCAAGCATATACCTAGAATAGCATGGGCAAAAAAGTGCCAGGGTCGACTTCAGTAAGCTACATCTAACGGTACCCACACCTATACTTTTGAAACTTGCTACAAGCAAAATCTCTTGAAACTTGTTGCACAGAGAGATCTCTTCAGATTTTTCTTAGAATAATAACCTATAACAACCTCACAATTAAGAATAATTTTTCAAAACAGACTCATTCGGATTTTTATTTTTCAAAATCGACCGTTTTTTCTTTTATTTATCAAAACCGACCGGATTTTGTGATTAGCAGATTAATCACTATCCTAAATAGTCGGGGTTGCCAACCCCGACTATTTAGGAGGGTGTTAAACCCTAATTAAAGGCCTTAATTAGGGTTTAACACCCTCCTAAATAGTCGGGGTTGGCAACCCCGACTATTTAGGATAGTGATTAATCTGCTAATCACAAAATCCGGTCGGTTTTGATAAATAAAAGAAAAAACGGTCGATTTTGAAAAATAAAAAACTAAATGGGTCGATTTTGAAAAATTGTTCCACAATTAAATGTCTAGGGTTCTTGGCGAGAGAGTGTCGTTCTTCCCACCCATGTGATCGTATCTGATGAACGAAACTGCTCATCATTAACTTACGACACGAAGAGTGGATGGCTGCGGCTACGGGCTATAGAGATAATCTTGGTTACAGTGAAAAGGACTGACAAGGTTTTGGTTCGGAAATTTCAGTGCGCTAGTTGTCACTGTCTTAAACTATTCATGTAAGCTTGTGAACTTCCATCAATCCAACAAAGGAGGAGAAGAACAGAAAAAAAAGGACGTATTCCTGAAATTAATCTTTCAAGAGTCGCTTTTAAAATATCACGTAGCAAGAAATTCCAATTGACATGACCGAAAAGAAAATTATTAGAGATTTTAAAAAAAAAATTGAAAGGATCTGTGATCTGAGAAAGGGCTGAGATCTCACCGTCCATCTCGACGATTGGATTCGCGACCTTGATCTTCTCGAACGCCATGTTGCCGCCAACTGTGAAGAGCTCGATCAGAAAGCAAATGAGTCGACAGAGATCAGAAAAAGCAAAAAAGAAAAGGCCGAGGATGTTGGCCTGCGTTTTTGGTGACCGACAGCTGTCGGGTTTTCCCACCTTTTGGTCTACCTTTCGGTTATTACGGAAATACCACTGCAGGGTGGGTCGGGTTGGCCCGGGCCCGAGCTTGCTTTTCGAGCTTGGGTTCGTAACTACTACAGATCCCACTACCCAAGAGAAATTATCGGGTCGGGTGAGATAAGAATTCTAGGTTCTCTGTTTGCCCCGTCAGCATCTTCTTCTTCCGTGTCGTGCGTCAGCTCTCAAGGAGCCATGGCCTTCCTTGCGAAGAAAGTGGCTCTTGATACTATAAATAATGAACGGTTTCACTTAAGGTCACCTAGCTATTTGACCAAGATTGCACTTCGTTATTCATGACCCATCAAAGTGAATCGCGATAATTTAGTTGAGAAACACTAACATTATGGTCACAAACCAATTAAAAGCTTAGTCAGATCAAAAATTCTTTGAACCAACTATTGACCAACGTGACACGTGACGCTTTTCTTGGAATTTGCGATCCTAATCCAAGATCAAAGGAACGTGACGCCTACCCTATAATTAGTGCAATGATTCTGAGTTCAAAAGTTTCTCGAAAGATTAAAAAAAGATAAACGAGAACGAGACTTAAAGTTGGTAAAACGTATATTACTCATTGATTAGAAATTTTGATGTAATCGTTATACATGGGTGTAACAAGATATACAATGGCCTCGCCAAATTAAGAGGACGAGGCGACGAGCAGCCCCAAGCTTTTTTTTTTTTTAAGCTTGAAACTTATTTAAAAAATTGGCAAAAAAAAAAAATTACAAAACTCTGTCAATATCAGCGGGGAAAAAACTTTTTGAGGATGGCTGAGGCCCGAGGGAAGAATGGTTCCTATATGAAAGAATCAATGTCAATGTATACAACACCTAGTTCATGAATTTCCTGCAAGTTGGAGCTTTGCATAGGCATGGGACTTTGCATTCCTCAGCCTCGTCAGGGTCAAACAAGTAATCATACCTGTTGCAACAACGGAGACGGATCAGCTTCTTCTTCTACACAAATTAACCCACACTACAGTTTCAATGAGAACTAACAAAGACTAGGGTTATTTACACATGCACCCTTGTACTATCCAGATGCAAGTATTCATCACTCATAAACCCATTGGCCCTTGTGAGGACGTCATTTTTCTGTTAGTTCTCTGAACCCCCTGAAGAATCATGTGATGGCTGAAGTGGGGGACATTTTCTAAGAACAATTTGACAAGATTTCAACGTGAGGTAAAAACTAACCAATAGACAACGTCATCACAAGGGCCAGAGATTGCATGCGGTCATAAAGTAGAACATGAATGATTAGTATTTACACCTCGATAATACAAAGGGTGCATCTACAAATAACCTTAACATAGTGAACTCTATAAAGCATTGACGAACGGCTACGAAAACAGGACCCATACGTTAGCTGCTATGAAAACCATTTCTTCAAGAACCCTCAGCGGAAAAAACTGAACAGAAACATGGCAATATTATAAAACAAAAGCTGAGAAGTAATACGTTAATTCATCGCCTGCAGGAACATTTGTCTTAGCTATGAGTACAATCCGGCTCTCATCATGTCCAACACTCATGATCCTCGCATAACAGTTGGGCATGCACTGCAAAAACAACGCCATAAAACTATCAAGACTGTAGTAGTCAGAAAGTTATCATGGGAAACAAATTATGTTTTCTCTGAGTCTTAATCTTGGAGAAGGGCAGGGATATTGTCTCACCGAGTGGTTAATTAGACGTGCTATATTTCCTTTATCGGTAGCATCAACCACCACTTCTTCACTGATCTTGAAAAGCTGCAGGGTAAAGAAACAACGTGACAACCATGAAAGACAGCAACAATGTAAATGAGTTATCAAATGTCATTGTCAAATTGCATTAACAATGAGCACCATCATGTACTATGTATAGCTACTGAGAACCTAACCAAGACCACCTTATGAAGTTTAGCTAAAATTTTACATGCAAAGCTCATTAGAGTATTTAACCTTCAGAATAATATGCAATTTACAACTTCTAGCTATGAACAGTACAGCTACAAAGCTTGGTAATAGCAAGCTAGTTCACATAAGAAGGTGAAAGAGTAAGATTAACTATTGCTCTTGAAGGCTACTCTCTGTAGAATGCTCCTGCAACCAAAAAAAATTGCACTTTGTGTGCGTCCAAACACAATAAATATGTTCATCGTGTAGACAAATTCCAAATTTTTACAGTTTTATTGACCTGAATAAGAAAAATGTACAAGATAAAGAAAGTTGTGACCCTTTCAACAACAGAAGTTCTAATATATTCTCTTGTTATTTTAGCTTATTTATATGATAACCTAATACATGTATTCATGTGCTTAAATACACATATAAGCATACGCAAAGATGAACAGGTGTTCCATAGTGTCTGGAATGTGGTAAAATGCCATGTTCAGCATCCCATGCCCATGTCTACATATGATCATCGTACTTATGTCTATATCTCAGTTTTAAATTTTGATATCCATACTCGATCAGGAACTTTGCAGATGATACAAAATTCCAAACTAGGTATTTCAAAGAGTACTTTAACTAAACACTAAGCTGATACTTTTTATATGCAGAAATGAAAGGGGAAGGGGTCTGATCAAGGTGATTGAAGTTCCAGAGAGATGGGATAAGATTTATCCAAGATTTATCCACCATGAAAATAATCAGGTCTCAGATTTTTGCAAAAAAGGCATTTAGACATCCACATCATTGTCAACATCCAGCAAAAGTTGCAAGAAGGGAGAAATTCGAGGAGAAGGTTGCCGCTCTACATGCCTGTTAAGTCAACAATAGATTATCAATAGAAACTCCTACAGCATTTATGAAATCTATACCAATGTCTATGCATAAGTATATCCCGGTATGATGAGTTCAGAAAATAGTGTAACAAAAATCACTTTTCTTTGCTGCAGAATGATTTGTGTTTCCTGCAGACTTGCCTGCTGATTGGTCCTTTCTCCCAGACGCAGTTAGTGTTAATGGTCCACCAATTCTTGGATAACAATGATAAGATATGCAATGGATGAAAATGGATAAACATCATCAAGAGCTGTGTTCCAGAGGAAATTTGCGGGCAACGTCTCATGTTAGGTACCAAGGATCGAAGCCAGGCAGGCTGAACAGTGCAAGTGTGGCAATGCCTACTAATTAGAAATTGGGGATAGGCATTGCCATAGACACGGCTCGACCCTTGGCCTTTTGCACCAAGGCCCCAAGTCCGAACCACTAGGCCCCTTGCATAGCAGTGGAGCGTTAATAGTTATTAAGAGTGAAGAGTGAAGATATGTTTTGCATCAGTACTGTATTGTCTGTCACTAAGACCCATGACCGCGAAAAAATTATAATATCTGGTATGTGTCTCTAGCATGTACTTGTACCTGGACACTTCTATCTTGTAGCCGTACAGCTACTTGACATGTATTCGTAAACAAACTGCTTGGACACTCCTTACATAGATTCATACATTTGTTCGGGCATGCACTCAATTAAACGATATATGTTTTAATTTAGAACACATGTCAAACATTTCCTGCACATAAATCCTACACTTGACATCCACTTCTTGAAACTCATTGGATTCCAAACTGTGATTATAATGCTCGTTCGGGTGTATAGTTTTAAAAACATGCATTTTACAATTTACAATTCACATAATAAGAGAAACATAAAAATGTTATAGGAATTTTAATGCTCACACGTGAATAAAAAATAATATTGATCTCATGCTTTTAGTTTCAACATATAATGTGCATACAAATATTTATATAGTCGTGTCCCATACCCTACCTTTTACAAATTTGCCCGTGTCCCGTACCCGTACCCATGCAACATAGATTGCAGTGCTCCAAACTCTCTAATGTTAACTATATATATACCAGTGTCCACTTTTATGTCCATTGTTCTCCATGCATCCAGTGGAAAGGCATACATGCCAACAATCAACATGTGAAAACAAAATTTCTCTGTCTACCAAGTGTGAACAAATTTATCATTCCACATGTTCAGCTTCCTAAGAGATACTGTCATACTTTTCCACAGAAAAAGTTCGCTTCAATCCAGATAATTAACGTATAGGACAGATTTGCCTGATTGCAAATTATAAAGGTATTTAGAAAGAAGAACAATATGCAGATGTAGAGTAACGCACATAGCAATCTTTCCCTTCCAACCGATACCGTGCCTCCCTAAGATCTGCAACACTGCGTCTGACCTGCTCACCGCGATACTCAATAACCTGACGAATATAAATTGAGAATAGTCAGTTCCAAATTAGAGACTCAACTCAAAGTAATTCCTTTAATTAAAATATAACTGAAATGTAATTAGTCTATCTTGAAAAGAAACAGTTCTCTCTGAAATCAGAAGGTCTGCATGTTCGCAAAAATAGATATGTTCATGTGCATCAGTATGCACATTGTATGTGTTATGCATCTTCTGTGAGTGTAACATAGCTATATTAGCAGCCAGCAGAATAATCATTTTGATATGGGTTTGATATCGCCGCTTTAGCAGCCATCAGGTAATCTTGAGATAACAATGAATGGAGGCCCAATAAAATGAAGTCCATAACAAGTTTGAAGGAAGTGAAGTGGATCTATCAGAAAGGGAAAGTTGGTGGAACTAAGTTAAGAAAAATGACGACAAAATTATATAAATGGAAAAGGAAGAGAAAATAGGAGATACAAATATGAGACATCAAAGAAATAACTCTTGTTGATCGTAATGTTCTTCTAACCAAAGGGAATGACCCTCTCCTCACATATACCATCTACGTTATTTCACTCCTGTGAGGACTGAACTATCAATACACAAAAACCAAAGCAACTGTTCAAGAAATTAATAAATTAGTTCAACAAAAACCCCTTTTATAAAAAAATTCATGTTGCATGTAACACATTCCACAGAATCTTATAACAGTACACTCTTCTGGAATTACCAGTCATGAAGAAAAGCAACTAAGGTTCAGAAAGAATGGGACAATTAGCAAAAGATTTGAAGTTGTCATGCTGAGAGGACTAAAATTTGCACAATATAAGTAGAGTTGACTTTGGCTATGGTAACATGGACTAGTTAAGCTCTATCAAAGCTATCCAACTACAAGAATAGAGTATACTTTAAAATCGCTTTATAAGAATGCCAAGCACTTCTTACTATTTCTGAATTAAGTTATTAACTAAACAAAAAAATGCTCACATCCCGCAATATTCAGCTCAACATATCTCATAAGCTAAATGTCTTCATACTAGTACAGAGTATGAAAATGCATCATTTGTTTCAAACATTGAATTTGACGGTAATTAGGCAAACTGAGTTTCTATTCGACAGTTTATTTTAAACAGATTCACTTGCATTGTAAAATCAAAGAACACAGTGAACTTTTCTCCATATAACAAAACTACCTATTTTGTTAACTGCTGAATCTTAATAAGGGGAAGAAATAACAGTTGATCCTGACACCTCCGACCCCCAAAAAACAATAAATAAATAAATAAAAATAACAATTCAACAGATGAAGCATAGACGAGGAACAGGTACCATTTCTCCTTCTTGAATATCCCTACGCGCAAAAAGGCCCCATCCATGTATTCCTGATCTACCAAAACAAACCCTACTTTTTTCGGTTGACTGGGGAAAAAACAACTAATAAGCTTACAATACCAGCTAACAAAATGGGTAAAAAAAGGAGGGGTAAGACATATATGCCTGCAAGTAACGAAGGCGTTCCCTAAAAGTAGAGAATGATTTAGGATCTTTCTCTTCCTGTTCATGCAGAATAAAGTCATTAGTTCCAATCCAATGGTGAATCCACATTATTTATATTAAAAACAGAGATCTTACCTTTGGTATATTCAAACTTCTAATTTCTTCCAGAGAATGATGGAAGGCACCCCTTACTCTATGAGTAACGACTTCTTCCCGCTTTCTCTGCATAGCAGATAAAAAGTATTAAGGATGGGAGGATAGCAATATCAAGGAAATTAACTGTAGCTATAAATGTTTAAAAATGACAAAAGAATCATGAGCATGAATAGAAAAAAAAGTTGCATTGTGGACATGTGACAATACAAACTGTAACCATCATTTGCTATGATTTTTTTTATATGCTTAGAACAACCCATTTATATCCAAGAAATTTTTAACCAATCAAATAATAATCATCTTAAGTTTCTCATTTTTACGATACCAGTAAAAAAACATATAATTTCTTTACAAAAGGTTGACTTTTGTTAGTTTCAAAAACATATTTCTTTATCACAAAGGTAAAGAGGACAACAACTTGGGAACAAGGTACCTTGGTTTCTGTCTTTTGGTAAACATGGCACCTTGCTGCAGATGAAGATCCTGGATGCTGCACAGCAGGGGAAGCTGAATCCTGAAGGTTTTCCTTCCGGATTAACCTCGAACCAGTCCGTTTATCATTATTTTGGAGCAATTTTTTGGCAGAAATGACACCGCGCGGAGTCTGTATAATGAGAACAGTATCTGGGTTTGGGTCCCTGCATAGAAGTAGTATACTGGATATAATTTATGGACAAATTTTCAAAACCAACCGTTTTAAACATTTAATTGCAAAAAACGACCGTTTTCGATAATAATTGCAAAAACCGACCTGTTTTCAGCCCAGCGCTGAAAACAGGTCGGTTTTTGTAAAAAATTCTCCGAAACATCACGGGAGTTCAACTCCCGTGAAGTTTATGGAGAAATTAAACTTCACGGGAGTTCAACTCCCGTGAAGCTTAATTTGTGCTTAAAACTCCACGGGAGTTCAACTCCCGTGGAGTTGCAGTCAGCAAATCCAGAGAATCGATCTCTGGAAATTGTGACTGCAGCTTCACGGGAGTTCAACTCCCGTGAAGTTGCAGTGCCAGTTTTCCAGAGAATCGATCTCTGGAAAATTGGCACTGCAACTCCACGGGAGTTGAACTCCCGTGGAGTTTGCTGCCACCTATTTAAGCGCGCGTGACCCCCCCCCCCCCCCATCTCTGGAAATTGTGACTGCAGCTTCACGGGAGTTCAACTCCCGTGAAGTTGCAGTGCCAGTTTTCCAGAGAATCGATCTCTGGAAAATTGGCACTGCAACTCCACGGGAGTTGAACTCCCGTGGAGTTTGCTGCCACCTATTTAAGCGCGCGTGACCCCCCCCCCCCCCC